AATAAAGAAATAAATAATTATAAATAAAATATATAAATTTAGTAATATGCTAGTTAAATTAGTAGAATAAGAGAAAAAAGAAATTCTACTAAGAAAACTATCTATGGCTAAAATAACTCAAATATACTGTATAACTTTTCTTGGTATAATCAGGTAATTGTGGTATAGTAAGTCATATATAATGTAATATATGGTATAGTAATGATCTGCAAAATAAAATATAAATCTAATATAATTTTATTACATAAATCATACTTTTATTTTATTTGTTTTATTATTTTAAGAGTAAAAGATCTCTATTATAAATAAGCCATACTCTTTTTGATTAGTTATTTTATTATTTATTTTAGTTTTTATTTTTTTTATTAATAGCTTCTTTGATTAATAGTAATTTTACTATTTTTTATTATTTTTATAAAGATAATATCTGTAGATATTGATATAAATCTTAGAAATCTTAAAAGTTATAGTCTAATTTTTCTTTCTTTATCTTTTATTTAATTTAGTCTCTTTCATTTCAATATTGTTAAGATAAATTTAAGTGAAAACTCTCTTATCAGATTTATTGTAACATTATTTAATAAGATTATAATATAAATTAGTTAATTAAATAATAAATAATATTCTTAATAAAAATTTATATTATAATATTATATATAATTTATATTTTTTAATTTTTATTACTTTTATTACTTTTATAATTTTTAATAAATTATTATATATCAAAAGAAAATATTTATATTTAATCTTTATATTTTTTAAATTTTATATATAATTAATCTTAAATTATTATATAAACATAATATTATTTATTTTTATTCAAATATATTTATTATTTTTATAATATTTCTAATTGAAATATTAAACTAAACTTTTTATTAAATTCAAATTTGATTTAAAATTCAAATTAAACTTGAATTTGAACTTAGATTTAAAATAGATTTGAAAAATTAATCAGTTTTAAATCAAATTTTTTTTAAGTTTAAGTTTAATTTAAGTATGAATCAAATTATTAAAATAATTTTAAGTCTGAATTCTGAAATATAATATTTATATTAATAAAAAAATTAATATTTATTAAATTATTTAATATTTAAAATAATTATTTTTTATTTAAAGATTAAAATATTTAGTATTTTAATAATATTTTTCATTTTTTAAAAAATTATAATTATTTAAATAAAAATATTTTAATTTTGTCTAATTGAAGTCAAAATTTTAAATAGTAATTTTTATATTTATAAGTAAAATTATAGTTTTTATTTAGAATTATAATTTTTATTAAAATTATTATAATAAAATATTGCTTTATAAAATATATTATACTTATTATAATTATATAAATAATTCTTTAATTAAAGATAAATTTTTAATAGCAAATATATTTTATACTTATAAGTAAAATTGTAACTCTTATCTAGAACTACAAGTTTTACTATTATACTTATAATCAATCTCAAATTAAACTTGAATCAGACTTAAATTTCGAGTTTGAGTTCAAAATTTTTATATTTTTTTCTGGATTTGAATTTGAGTTCAATTTGATTTTTTTCAAAACACTATATCTTTGTTAGTTTGTTTTATTAGTTTATTTTTTTAATTTTTATTTCTCTCTTAATATTGAAAATACTAAAATGGCATTTTGTTAATATAAAAATATTAATACTGTTCTTTTATTTTATTTTAGCTCATTATTTGGACAATATTTTATGTCTTTTAATCCTTTTTATTTATCTTTACAACTCTATTTCCACTTCTTTATTTTTATCTCTTATTGTATTGATTGGATATTGAATCAAACTTTTAAGATGATATGATATAAATATGAATCAATGTTTGGAGAATATATTAATATTGTTTATCAAGTTTCACTAAACAAATTCAAAGAATGACGAGTTAAGTTTGAAGTTTACATTATTTTATATATATCATTTCCAGAATATCATTGAAATACGAAGATTTATAAAAGAATCAAGTTAAAAATTGTTCATATTTACAAATATCTTTTTTACCTTTAACCAGTCTGCCCTTGAAGTCGTCAACTGGAACATTCTATCATTCAATTTTAAATAACTTGTTTTTATTTATTACAACAATATTGAAATTAAGAAATTTGGAAATCATATCGATATTCTTTTTAAGAAAATGTGTTAATAGACACATTCGATTCGTCTAGGCATGACGAATCAAAGGTGGCGTTTACACATGATTTCGATCGAAATTTGAATTTAAAGGAGCGATATCTTATGTCTAGCATGAAATCATCATTTGATTCGTCAAGCCTAGACCGAATCGACTAGTATAGTTTTCGTGTGATTCCGTCCACTAGATATCGAGATATCTGTTTTTAATTTTGGCCGCAATACTCCTTGGTCCTTTAATTGATTTATATAATTGAAAAATTAATATTTTCATTTTTTATAATACATGACAACAGCATTATTTTATTTGTTCTAAATATACATATAACGTTTAGGAAAATTTTCTGATGATTTCATTAAAAAAGTATAGCAAGATAATTTATACATGTATATAGTTTTTCTGTCCTTGCAGGAAACAAAATCGCATCCTTGGGGAGGGGATAATAAATATGTCGGATAAATCACATTCCCAGATATTAGACTCCCAAATTGTGCTCAAAGCTATAAACGCGGAAGTAATATAATTCTCAAGTGCGAAAAATTATTATGATAGTAATATTCGTATTTCTGTTTGATGTATGCAACAATGTAATAAATAAATCTAGAAAATAATTTTAACGAAATGTATTTCAAGTGAAATGGACCAACTTAGTTATAATAATTCGACGAAATTTTAATTGAATTTATTTATTTTTTATTAAATAAATGCTTTAATTCCAAAACAATAAATATTTTTGATCTTTTTAATTTTTAATTAAAAAAAATTGTTTTATTACCTCATATTTTATATGATAATATAATTATATTAAGCGCAATTTCATAATATGTTCAATAAATTCATATTGTTAATATACAAAATTAACATAATATTGTATTGAACATCGAATAGGGGATGTATATTCTTCATATGTAAAATAAAAGAAATATACATGGTAAAACACAGAAAATGGAGTCTATAATAACAAATTGATTTTTTCGATGGTGTGAATATTATGTATCAGATGTATGTATAAATAAAAACAATGCGTAGACACAATTAACAAAAATCCAAATTTAGAATTAACAGACAAAAGAAATTTGGCTTTTGTTGTCCAACAAAATCTATTCTAACTTTCATTTGTCATTTTTGCAAAGCGATTCATTATAAATAAGTCGAGTTCCGAACGATTCAATCAAAAACAGCCATAAATTTTGTCTGAGAAAATTATTTAAAAAATTCCTTTTTTAGAACAAATATTTTCTATTCACAAAGTACTCTCTTTCATTGACACATTAACAATGACTCAAGCCTTCAATCCAAACCTTTTCATTCGAGTTTTTCTTTCGCTTTTCGCCATCTTCATGACAATCCACGCAGCACCGGTCCCTGGAAACGGTGATTACTCTAATAATAATATAGGACTTGGAAATTATGGAGATATGGGACAAGGTAACACTATTGTCAACGGACCAAATGCAAAAACGTATGGCAGTGGAATGAATTTTGACGGCTCCTCGGGTAAATACGGGGGTATATTTAATCAGGGGTCCGGAACTGGAAGTCATTCTATTTTTAATGTTAATGGAAAAGGAGATTTCTCGAACTTAAATCAGGCAACTTCTCAAGCTTGAGTCAAAATGATTGTAATTTAGAAATATATAATGAAATATTGATATCTAAATTTATTAACAATTTATTATTCATAAATTAAGACATTGTTTTACTAAATAATAAAGTTTAAAATTTTTTTATATAATTGAAGAAAAATCATTAAGCCTCTTTGGCAGTAAGAATCTAACTGATATTTGGTAATAAATGAAATATTTTGAGAAGCAGACAAACTATTTATAATTTCATAAACAAAATAATTCCTTACAACATTTTCCATAATTTGGTACCGGTACGAAACTAAAAAAATGGTTGAATTATTAATACAGCCAATAAACTTAAAAAATTCCTAAAAAAGACATAAACTTATAAACCTGTGATTGAGTCATACCATGCATTTAGAAAAGGCATGCATTTATAGAGGATGCATTTAGAGAAGTTTATCTGTAATAATCCATACAAGTTTTAAGTGATTCTCAAATTTATCCTTACTTTGACGGGATTCGTTTTGATAATTACGTATAATGACAAGTCTACAATATCATCTCATTACCACGGATACGAAATAATCGGACGAAAAGCTGCTAATTGGATTAACTGGCACAGGATTTTTGATCTCAAATAGCAGGACATGCTCGCCCAAATGAGAAAGGAAGAATGACTGACGAATATTGATAAGTAAACTCACGCTATTTTCATATGCTCAAATTAGGCATGCATGCATTTTATGAGCCTATGACTAATGTGAGCGAAAAATTCATATATAGTGTATATACTGTAATTAGGCAGAAAAAATAATGTGAATGTAAAAAATTATGGACTTAAATTTTATCAAACTGAAATATGATAATTTATAGATTTGCAAACTTTATATATCAACGTGAATTTCTTACTAAGCAAATTGATTCTTAAGTACTAAGTAAACTTGTTCATAGACAAAACCATTACTTACATTAAAATTTCTACAAAATTGTATTAAATGTTAATAAAGAAATTCAATTTTTTTATCATCATTTAAATGGTGAACCTATTATTGAAATTTTAGCCAAATCTCATAAAAATTTCACTGTAAATAGATTTAATACCACAAATACAGTAACAATTGAAAAACTATATATGATTTCGGTTTGATCAAACTTGGATTTAAATATTAAAAATTGTTCACAATAATATGTTTGTCATTGTACATAAATTTCATGCCAAATATCATTATTTCTATTATCAATTTATCATGAATCGTATCTTTTTCAGCAATTGAGTCTCCTTCTACTTTCTTCAAAGTTTATATAAACCTTTATCAACTATAACACCAGTCCATCAACACACTTTTCCGATTTCCACAAAAGGGAACCTCACTCGGTTCCATGAGATTTATAGAGGAGTGGCGCATTTATTTTCGAGTATAAATAGCAAAATCCAAAAAAATGTACATGATGCGAGCTCTACCAAATGAATTTGATATATGCAAACTACAGTATATTACACCAATATTATTAATTAATTTTAAATATTACTTATTAACCTAGAAAACTTATTATTTAAAAATAGTATTTATGCTAAATCTTTTATTAAATTAATTTCCGTGGTATTCTCAGTACCAACAGAATATACCGTCGTCTTATTCGATTTTCCACGATTCACAAACGATTTCAAACGTTCAATAAACCTTTTCGGCGTTGCAGAAGCCAACACAAGAGTAAATGTACTTCTCAAGATACAATCTATCGCATTTGTAATTGGAAGATACTGTTGCGCGTCTTTCATTAGGATACAAGCGGCATAGAGTGATAGGTAAATACTCGAAAGCGTGCACAATGTAGTAAAGTACCAAGTTCCGATTGCAGCATTTATTGGACTAATATTATTTCCACTTATTTTTTGTCCGTTCATTTGTGGGTTCACGTGAAGTTTCATCACCGGCCGAAATGTATAAGTGAAAGATGACATAGTAACCAACATTCCGAAAATCATTTGCACCACGAAAACTTTGTAACTTATTATTGGATCAATTATTATCTCGTCGTATATCAAGATTATTGTTGCGATATTTAAGATGTTGAAGATAACCAGTCCTGCTATTGTCATTTTGAATGTTATCGTATTCCATTTTTTCTTTTGATAGAATTTGCGACCCATATCTACGACACAAAGTACTAATATGGTTGTGCAGACGGTTGTTAGAGCTGCGGTTAATATCCAATACCAAGGAAATTCAATTTGAGGATTAAAATCACATATAAGTTGGATAGCTATTAGTATACAGATAAGAACGTTTGCAATGAGGCTGTAAAAATAACAGAAGTTAATTTATCATTTCAAGAGAAGTACGATTATATGAATTCAAAAGACGAAAATAAATATTGCACACGAACCATGAAAGCCGAAGTTTCGTGGATTTTTTCTGACATTGGTATGCCAAAATGAACAAAGAATTAAAACAAACGAGGATAGCCAGTATCACGAACACCAACTCGGATACTATCATTTGAAGAGGTGAAATGTGAAAGGATTTTATACAGAGAAGTAAGCGAAAGACGCCGTATATTAAAGAGTGCAAAAGAGTGAATAAAAGGGAATTAAAAGAATAACGATACGAAAGGTAGGCGAGAATTAAGTTTCTTGCAAATTTCTTGTAAAAGTATTAATTTATTTGTTATACCTTAAGTGCATATCACAAATCAAACTTGGATTTTCTTGTAACGACAAATTTTGAATTATTTACATAACTGTTTACTAATTTATTATACTTGCATATATACTGGATATATCGATATGAAATTACGTAAAAAGAAATAATTGGTTTAGCGGATTATTACATTCTTTCGATAAAGAATACTTACCATGTAGATGGTTACTTAATTCTCAAAAATTTTGCTAAATTCAAATTCTCTAATTGGATGTCGATTTAGAAAAGATTTAAAAACTTGGGAACTGCATTATAATTTGTTATAACATGTCGTTAAAGAAAAAAGCGCGAAGCAAAGCGCTCGCAGGACCATTTATCTATCGATATATTTTTATGATTTCGCAAATTATTCCATTTTCGTTTTTAGTGTAATTACGTACATGATGGAACTGTTCGTATTATTTTGAAATTTCCAATCAACTCAGACTTTTTTAACATCACTAATTTTTTGTAAAGTCATCTCACCTTTGCTATTACTATAATTTCAATTGTAATTGTGCTAATATTCTTAAAAGAATAAAATATTTTCAATTTACCTTCTAATCTATTGTATTGGTACATACTCTTTGTGCTGCATTATCTTATGCTGTATCTAACATGTTGATTGGTCCATTCAGACATATTGATGAACTGCAATTTGCTTATCGTTATCGTTAAATCTTGTATTCTAAATACACTTTTCGCGTCACATGCTTTCACGTGTCCTCACACCACTAATAAATAAATTTTACACAGCGAATGCAAACATACTATGTATAATATTTCATTTTTAGTAAATAAAAATGTCTCGTGAGATCGTACTGCTTTATCATGATGTAGTCCTCTACAAAGATGTAGGCGAATGTTCCTTTTTCTTCAACTTTGTTGAAATTTATTTTTAGTTATTTATCATAGGATTTCGAGTTATTAAAAGACCATCAATGGCTCAACGACACTTGCATCGAATTTTATATGGAGTAATTGAACATTTTCTTGTTATTTTACGAGTTTTGAAGAGATTCTAATTAATCTATTCCACAAAGATATCTAGAAAAGACAAAATTAACATCGCAAAAGGATGAGCAGGAGAATCGATTAACAATATTTTTGTTGAAACCCGGTCTCACATACTTGATCTCAAATATTCAAGGTTTAGATTCTTGTTTTTTTTTTTTGTTTATCAAATCTCATCTCATTCTTTTTATTAAAAGACGCACAGTTCTTGGCATCTGCTATTCCTCGAGAAATCTATATGGCTGATATTATTTTTTTGCCGATAAAGTAACTCATCAACAAGATCTAATATGTGTATATACATTCGTTAATTCTCCGATTTTTTGGTTTCCAGCAATAATCAAAATCCCACTCGTGCAGGTGGTGGAACCCACTGGTCATTAGTTGTCTATTTGAAAGCACAACAGCAGTTCTTGCATTATGATAGTGCACATGAATTTAATACTGTTGCCGCTCATGTGACTGTAGAGAGAATCGCAGCTTTGCTTGACGTTAAAGGTAAGATGTTTGATAATATTCCAATACTTACTTATTCACTAACCTAATTTATATGGAATAAAGAAATTAGATTCTTACAAATGCTTACGCCACAGCAGGATAATGGTTCGTTGTCTTTGGTTGCTTTGATATTTTTACAGTTCATATTTCGCTTTTTGCCAAATATTTTCAATGAAATACAGGAACAGGTAATTCACTTTACGTTTGCTCAGTCGCAGAGGTTCCTTGACTCGGATACGTATAAAGAATACATGAAATATTCTCCACCCAGATTGCGGCGTATTCGTAATTGCGATAATTGATCACCTGGTAAATCGAATCCTTACAAAGTCTGCAGGAGCAGCAAATTTCGTCATGGATGAGATGCAAATATCATCAGCGAATGACATCACTTCGCCCGGAGAAATGCGACTACGACTCCAACAACTTGTTGAGCAGCTGCGCGTGGCCAGTTAGGCATTTTGAATCTCTATGAAAAAAAGAAAATTCTTTACTCAAGCACAAGAATGCAAACAAACAGAAATGGAGCGAGACAAACAAACACAATGGCATCAATGGTTTCGTATTTGTAGAGCTTATATAAACAATGAACAATTGTATTACGCAAGTCAAGCCATTTTCTCTACTATATTTAACACGTGCATATTTATTATTGCGTTGCTTGTGTGGTAATAGCTTGTGGTAATGATCTTATAATAAAAGCTTGTTTTCTTGTATTAGGGGATAATTGACGACGAAATGAGATTAAAAAATGAAAATGAAAAAAAGGTGAAAGAAACGAAGTAGATTTGTGTGAATACGAAATTTTGTATATCTTTTTTTTTATATAAAATTGAATTGCACGCGAAGGTGATTGGTTTACTCAAAAAGAAAATCAAAGGTAACGAAGTGAAGTATGATTAAAACACGTTGAATTAATACGTTAAAAAATGTATGCGATATGCTAAATTTTGTTTCGAATTTCACGGTTTTACCGGTTATACATGTACATGATGTTGTTATCGATGATTGATCCTTGTGCATAATAAAATAAAATAAAATAGATTGAATTATATAATACAATTAAAAAAATGTGGCAATCATACATCCATTTGCATTAGCATTAGTAATTAATTAATCGCTGTTTAGCATAATAAAAGTTGCACATTCATCCCACGCTTTGGGATCTCTTCCAGATTATCATTAAGCTTTTGTTCTTCATCATGTCCATCGACTACATCCATCTCAATATCAGCATCATTTTTCTTTTTTTCATCATTTGCGTTAGCATCTTCCTCGTCACAGTAATTTCGACGATCTTCTTCGTCTTCTTGAGCGGCTGTTGATGCGATAGACCACGTGCTACTACTGCTATCATCCAAAGATGTCTGTGTTTCAACATCACATGTCTTTTTTTGCTGCGGATTCTCTTTTAGAATATTCGTTTCTTCGTTTGATGATGTTGGTGATGCTGCTGAACTTGAAACACTTGGCGTTTGAATACTGTTGTTGGATGTCGTATTGATCGCAAGTTTCATTGAATTTTTATTAGCAGGAGTGGAAGTCGTAGAAATTGCTGAACTTCGTTTTCTACGATAATCATTATCACGTGATTCAGATACTTCACGATAGTTTGATGACGAAGTTGTGAATTTAGAGGATGGTATGCCATATCGATCAAATTTAGAACGCTTTACTACACGACGTTCTTCAGCTGCATCATCATTTGATGAATCACCACTATCATTATTCCTTAGTTGAGATTCGGCGACTAATCCCTGTAAATATTCAATATACTCAATTGCGCTTTGCAAAATGTTCAATTTATGCAAATGTTCTTGATCGGCACAATTCGGTATTAATTCTTTAAGCTGCATAATTTTATCGTTGATACGTTCACGTCGCCTTCTTTCTATCGCCGAATGTGAGACTTTTCGTTGTAATTCACGTTCATCAGCTGTAGTGCGAGCCTTATCATTATTAACGGAATTACGATTCTGATGTTGTTGCTGTTGTGTCAGCAATGGATGGATAATTGAAGTGTGATGTTGCATTAATGGTCTTTGACTTCCGGAATTATTTAATCCGCCATTAGCTGATGATGCAGCATCGGGAGGCATCATAAGAGCAAATACCGAAGTTGTTGGAAGATTTGTTTGCTTAGGAAGAATTCTAACAGCATTACTATGATGATTGTTGCCATTAATTTGCTGTGGTGCATGATTTGTCGGGGATGGAGGTAACATCGATGCATTAGATTGTGATTGTTGATTAAGATGATGATGATTAAGATGTTGATGATTATGATGCTGATGATGCTGAATATGATGATGCGTAGGAATTGGTGTTGGTAACTTGAAACCTGATTGCGCAGCATAATCCCCCGAAAATGGTGAGTGTGGAGGAGTTCCGATTGGTGGTAAGGTCATGCCACCATTTATATGGTTATGCGAAATTTGCGTGACCGAATTTGATTGAGGTGAAGTTACCGGCGAAATTGGACCATTATTATTAATGCTATTGTCGCTGCTAGTTTTATTACCATTAACAGAAGCGTTTATCGTTGTGGTGGCGTTGTTTGTCGTAATTGGCCTTTGCGACAATGGCATTGGCATTGGCGCTGGCATTATCGGCCTGAACATTTGCATATTGTGTTGTGGTGGTTGTTGAACATTTGACTTTTGTTGTTGTTTGTGCATCTTGATATTTTCTTTTGGCGAAACTGGAATTATTAATTGGTATTGTGAGTATATGCGAACGTGGGGTATGAATGGGTGGGTGAGTGGGAATTCGGTTTGTGGTTTTATTATTGGTGATACACAACAACGTAAACGTAATAAATAAGGGAGAAAGATGGGAATTTTTCTCCGGTCAAATGTTTGACAAGAATTTTATTAAAAAAGAAAGTCGTTACAGTTTAAAATGGGTTGCGATGTTTTGTGAAATGAAAGTCGAGTTCATATATTATAAGTTTTTGGCGTAGGGCCAAAATATTTTTTTGTGCTAATACAAATTTTCCTAAATTGACACAAAAATGCACATACCGATACATGTAAACATACACACATACGTACACCTATGATACGTTAGTGATATTGTGACTTATAATTTCACTTGTTTTCCAGCAACCATAGAAAAAGAGATATATATATCTATCTATCTATATATCTATGTAATGTACTGTATAAATAAGAAAGATTTATTATTATTATTATAATTACCGATATTGGTTAAGAAAATACAGTATTTTCTTTAGAATGAAAGAATGCGGATGTGACAAGTGAAAGGAATTTGATAAATGTTCGGTGTGAAAATCAGCGGACAATTGATTTAAATGAATGGGTTAAGCTCAAATAATAAAAAACAAATATATTGTGGTCAGATAGAGACGACCCAATGGGTAAAGCGGAGTTCTTGTAGAGGGATGCGTTTGGTATGTAACGAAATGTTGAAGTAGGGCAAAAACTTTAATAATTCTATAAGTTGATTTGGGCGTTTTTCTCGAGAAACTGATGTAAAATATAAATTACTTTGTTTATTGTCTATTTACTGTTATGTTGATAATATTTAATTATATAATATTGTATATTGTATCAGTAGTCTAAAAATTTCATTGTTCCGAATAGATCGATATTCACGCACGCTTTTTGTTTTGTGACCAATGAGTTAGGCGCGTGCGCGATTGATTGGACGTGATTTAGTGCTTGCTGCTTTATTTAAATACACGAGCACTATGATATATCTTTAAATATATACATATACATGAAAAATCTCGAAAATTTTTGTGAAACAATTCGACCGACCAAAATGTAGTGCTATGAACTCTGAACAAAATTAAAAGAGATTTTTGTAGAATGTATACGTAAAGCGTAAAAAAACAAACAAAACAGCTGATACTAAAGATTGATTCTTTAAAATTGTGTAAGCACCACGTGCAATTGTGATTGGATGAAGAGAGGTTGTGCCCCAGGTTTAGGTAATGATTGTTATTTATTAT